AAGTTCTTATAAATTTTCAGAATGCATTCTAAAATTACCTTATGACAGTACAAAGCCAAAAATTTCTAATTAAAATACTGAAGGGTGCCTGGGTGGCTCAGACGGTTAAGCGTCTGCCTTCGGCTCAGGTCATGATCCCAGGGTTGTGGGATCGAGTCCCACATCGGGCTGTCCGCTCAGCGGGGAGCCTGCTTCTCCCTCTGCCTCTCTCTCTCTCTGTCTCTTATGAATAAATAAATAAAATCTTAAAAAAAAAAAAAAAAACTGAAATAAGTTTATTGCTTCCCCTAAATCAATATATAAAATCTTGGCCTGTACGAAGAACTATAAAACATGCAGCTCATATTGCTTTTGCAATTTACTGGAATCCATAGCTTTCCATTTCCTTCCTTGTAACTCACCACAAGAAATGTTTTGGGGGAGGGGAGGGGAAAAAAAGAAATGTTTTTACATCCTGACCCAGCACATGCATGCACAGATATTGTAGGAGGCATCATATGCCACCTCAAAACGTGCCACTTTAGAGTCCTTAAGGACTATTTTGAGCTGACAACAATTAAGAAGCAAAAAGAAAAGCCCTCTGCCTTCTCCCTATTTGCCCAAAAGCAGGACATAAATTTACAGATGTCCTCTCCCTTCTCTCTTTACCAGAAAGGACAAAAGTTAACCAAAACACTAGACCCTTATCAGCCTGGAAATGGTACCAGAGGAATCTACATAACAAATTTTAGCCTTTATCTATCATTAGCTTCCCATAATTTGCAGCCCTAGGAACTCAAAATCCTTCTCCCTTGTCTCTTCTCCGAAAATTTATTGTTCCTTTGCTAAGATGCTATATATGCCCAAGTTCTCATCAACCCTGGAGTTACTCATCTAAGTGCTCCAGTGTAAAAGCATAAACTTGTTTTTCTCTTGTTAATCTGTCTTTTGTCAGTCTAATTTATAGGGCCTCAGCCAGGGAACCTACAAGGGTAGTAGAAAAAAAGAAATTTTCCTTCCCTACAATATATAATTAAAATAGGCTACACAAACAATACTTACTACTCTTACTATATGTAATGTACTGTTATTTTTCTTTCATATTTAACTCATCCAAAAATGCTAGTTTTCACCCACTACACTAATTTCGTAACTCACTACTGGGTCACAACTTGCAATGTGAAAAGCTGTATTATAGATCCTACTGCAGTAACATATATATAGATGAAAGGTAAATTTTAGTAATTAAAGGTAGGGTGGGGGCGCCTGGCTGGCTGCCTCAGTTAGTAGAGCATGCAACTCTTATTAATCTTGGGGTCGTGAGTTCGAGCCACACATTGGGTGAGGAGCCTACTTTAAAAAAAAGTGGGGGGGGGGGCAAGGAAAATCACCACGGGCATAGCAAATGGTCCTAGGTTCAGAAGGCTATGAATGAGCAACCATTTCCTTGTATTTGTAAATTAGAAGAGCAGTAAATTAACCCTTGAATTACACAAGGACAGAGAAAGGAAACAAATCAGCTTTCTAAGTTTCTTAACTATTCACTGATCTCTCCAACAGCATTTATAATTTCTCCATCATCAAAATGTTCATCCAGCATATTATATGAGGGGAAAATTATGCTGCCCCCTAAGCAAGATTTCTGAACCTTGACAATACTGACATTTAGGCTAGACAATTCCTTGTCATGAGAGGCTCTTCTGAGCTCTTTAACAACTTCTCTGAGTTCTACACTTGACACTCTGGTGACAACCCAAAATGTCTCCAGGCACTGCTATACATCCCCTTGCCTCAGGTTGAGAACCATCAGCTTAAAGAAACTTGAATCACTTTTTAAAAGATGAAAAGGGAAAAATAACTAAAATCCTATAGAAATGTCAAAGTAATATCTAGGCAGCTGACAGCAGATACGCACTATGGCAAATGCCAAATTAGTGGGGGGGGGGTCCTGCTACCAAGCTGGTATTATACTGTGTACCAGTCCCTGTGGCTATAAACAAACTTCTAGAACACTTCAGGCACTTACTGCTACAGAAAAGACTTCTATGGCTTGTACTCTATATTTAAAAGATGAAACAGAACTTGAGTAGACATATGCAGTCAAGTCCCATAATCCAATAAAGCAAATTTGGGCCTTCCTACCTAAGCCTCTGGCTCTAACTGGACACCTATCTAAGTTCGGTTCAAGATCACCAGCATGGAAGTCACTTGGAGGCGGATAGTACAATATTCCTGGGGGTGAAATTTCTATGCGCTTCTCATGGACCAACAGTTTGATAAAGTCTGAAACCTAACAATCACAAGAAATCCCTGAGTTCCCATAATAAAGTGGGGAAAGTGACATAAAGGGGTGAGGAAAGGATGAAAGAAACCTGATGCTTGGCTGACCGACCCCTGATCTTTCTTTTTCTCTTCTTTTCCTAAGACTCCCGTATCCTTAGGCCACGCTTAGGTAATTGACGAATCTACAGAGAAGATATTTCTGATCAAGAATCTTCCAGGGGTGGGGCGCCTGGGTGGTTCAGTCAGTTAAATGTCTCCTTTGGCTCAGGTCATGATCTCAGGGTCCTGGGATAGAGCTCCACATCGGGCTCCCCACTCGGAGGAAGCCTGCTTCTCCCTCTCCCTCTGCCTGCCGCTCCCCCTGCTTGTGCTGTCAATTAATAAAATCTTAAAAAAAAAAAAGAATATTCCAGGGGTGCCTGGGTGGCTTAGTTGGTTGTGTCCGACTCTTGGTTTCGGTTCAGGTCACGATCTCAGGGTGGTGGGATTGAGCCCTGCGTGGGGTTCCATGCTCAGCAGAGTCTCCTGGAGATTCGCTCTCTCCCTCTGCCCCCTCCCTGTTTGTGCATGCTCTAATAAATAAATCTTTAAAAAAAAAAAAAAATCTTCTTTTAAATCTTCTTAAAAAACAAAAGATCATCTTTAAAAAAAAAAATGTTTCTTCCCTATTCCAACTATTTTATCACCGTTTCCTCTCAAATTGATCAGGGAATAGGTCCTAAGTCATCAACACCACCTTTCGGCCCTGTAACCCGCCCAAATGACCAAGACAAATGTAGAGGGGCACCCACTATGTTCTCTAGGTCTTCCAGAAAACAGAGTTGGTCCTTTGGCCATGCACATCTTTTGGCCATGCACATCCTTTAGCCATGCACATACTTGTAGACATGCACATCTACAAGCAAGATGATGATGACACTGTATAGACAACAGGGGAATGGCACTAATCAAAAAGTAACACCCCACGAACGTTACCATGGCAAAACTCGAAGAGTCTACACAGTGTTATCCAGCATGCTGATAACTAAGGGCAAGATTCTTGCCAAGAGAATTAGTGTATATACTGAGCCTATTAAGCATTCAGCTTCTCGAACCTGTGAAGGAAAATGATCAGAGAAAACGGAAGCCAGGAGAAAGGTACCTGGGTCCAAGTGAAGCACCAGGCTGCTCCATGCGGAGAAGCACACTTTTTAAGAACTAACAGAAAAGAGCCTGAGCTGCTGGAAACCCATTCCCCATGAATTCATGGCATGATAGACATTAAAAAAAAAAAAAAAAAGACCTCTGGAATGTAGAAATGTTTCTCTTAGTTGAGTAGAAGTGTGATGTCCCCTCCCCCAAAGAAATACTTAAAGCAAACTTTGTGTCCTTAAAAAATAATCAACACCATTCAAGAGCATAAAGTTCCAGTAGGACTCTAAGAAGTAAGACAGCAAGGGAATAAAACAGCTTCTAAAACATATAGTACAAGGCACTTTACACAGCCGCCTCAATCTTTGCTCCAGGTATCATTAAAAGCTCAATAAATTGCTAGTTTCACAGTCTGTTCAGTATGCCATTTCAGAAATAATTACAGTATCAGTTTATGTACCGGCTAACAAGTTTTTTAAAAGGATTGCTCTGCTGTTTCTATGACAATGCCACTCTTAAATCACAATTTGAGAAGCTCCAAAGTTACTGTCGGCATAACACAGTATACCTGTCAATCCTACACAATAAAATTACTCAGCTGTACACAATTTGACACAGCAATTTGCAAACTGACTAGAATAAAAGAGAATTTTTTAGGGTCAGTTCATCTCTAAAATTGGAACAGAATAAATCATAAATTAATCATGAAATGTTTGGTATCCTAAAAAAGCCACATTCTGTCCTTTTTTAAAACTAGCATTTCTGGGGATGCCTGGGTGGCTCAGTCAGTTAAGCATCTGACTCTTGGTTTCAGCTCAGGTCATGATCTCACGGGTTCCTGTAGGGCTCTGTGCTCAGCATGGAGTCTGCATGAAACAGGATTCTCTCCCTCTGCCCCACCCCTGACTCGCGTTCTCCCGCTCTCTCAAATAACTCTTAAATTTTTTTTTAAAAAACTAGCATTTCAGATCTCTGATTGTAAGAACAGCTGACTGGCATTTCACGAGAGCATATTTATATGGCTGAGAACAAATCTGGTCCCTAAAAAACTGCAATCATAAATTTCTGAGTCTTTTCTTTACCTGTTCTCGCATGATTAAATGGTCAGAACCACTCATCTGATGTGTATTCTGCTAGGCCTGAGAAGATTAAAAAAGGAAAAGTATGACAAGATATAAAGAGAGGAACATGCTTTTAAGGAATATTCAATCTAGTGGAGAAGGACATGCTCCATCTTACAGTTAGTGCTGAGTAACAAGTGAGATAAAAAATGTAATGAAATGTGATATGGACAAGAAAACTTCACTTTGGGGCATTTCATTTGCCTGTATTTTGAACAGTTGGTATTTATAGAAATAGGACTTGGGGGAGACTACATGGGATGGGAGGCCAAGCAGAGACTTGAAGGGAGAAAAGTAAGAGGATACAATGGAAAACTGAAGCAGAGAAAGAACAGGAAAAAACTATGTCCAAAGGTAAAAATGAAAAGGTTAGCTTTGGAGAGGAAAAAGCCAGGGAGTAAGAGCCAGGGAGTAAGACTGAAAATACAGATACCTTTTGAGACTATAAGGATTAAGAAGGAGATGATCTGCTTAGAGGCAGGAGGCAGCTGAAGACTTTCAAGTAAAGTGAAAAATTTTGGATTGGTCACTGTAATTTGTCACGTAATAAAAGTTAAGAGGAGACACACTCCAGGCCTGGACTATTAACTAAAGACATCTTTGCACAGAAGGATAATATAACCTGGAGAGACGTACGTCTAGGGACCGTCGGAGTACACTACACCAGTGCCTCAAAAAGCAGGATATACTATCACAGAAGCTCCCCCACTATTTATCTAAATTTACAAGAGCCATACTTTTATTCAGAGACTTACGTTTCTATTAAAACTGCTACATGGGGCACCTGGGTGGCTCAGTCATTAGGCATCTGCCTTCATCTCAGGCCCTGATCCCTGAGTCCTGGGAATGAGCCCAGCACTGGGTTCCCTGCCCGGCAGGAAGCCTGCTTCTCCCTCTCCCACTCCCCCTGCTTGTGTTCCTTCTCTCCCTGTCTCTCTCTGT